CTTCATCAGAACAGATTTGGAGAAATGTAGCATTACATCACTCGCTCACCAGTGGATCCTCTGCAGTGAATGGGTGCCGTCAGAATGAGAGTCCAAACAGCTGATTTAAAAACATCACTGTAATCCACATGACCATCAGTTAACATCTTGCGAAGCTGAGTGAAACAAATCCATTAAGAGATTTTAACTTTAAACTGTCGCTTCAGTCCTAAAAGTCCTGAAAAGGTCGCCTTATCTGAATCAGGAGAGAAATATGCACAGATAAAGCACCGTTTACTAGCAGAAACAATTCTAAGCAAATACTGGACTGGAGTGGTGTGGATTACTTGTGGATTATTGTGATGTTTTTAAACCGCTGTTTGAACTCTCATTCTGACGGCACCCATTCACTGCAGAGGATCCATTGGTGAGCAAGTGATGCAATGCTGAATTTCTCCAAATCTGTTCCCATGAAGAAACAAACTCATCTACATCTTGGCTGGCCTGAGGGTGAGTTCTCAGGGAAACGGGTGTAATGTTGTGCAAGGCTCCTCCGTGGGTCTGTTTCTCATCATTAGCTCTCTGACGCTGCTGTCCTCGGACACCTGCGGCACACATGAGTGCTCCTGAAAGTCGAGTCTTGTTATCAGGCTGCCGGTGTGTAACTGTAGCTAGCGCACAGAACTATGAAAAGCCCCCGCGGGCCGGGGATGCGGTTTCACCTGACCAGCCGAGCGTCCAGGCACTTACCTGCACCGTGTGTTGTCTGAACTCTGATGAGGACAGCATGAATGGAGCGTTCTGGTGAGCTTGATGTCGTACACGCAGAGATTAGTGTGTGTTTTGATATGGGGCTGACCTGAGGATTACATATCTGAAGTCAAAGGTCTGCATCTATGCTTCATTAACCACTAGCAAGTACACACATTAGGATGATGTGGCTGCCGTTAAAGCTGAAAAATATCCCCATTTACACTAATTTGGTAGCTTGTCAAATTTTTGAGGCGGGTTGTGTTTGATCGATCAAGTTTGATCAGTTGTGTACTTAAAAATTGCACCATCATGGGAAACCTGGAAATGTCAGGGAACTTTAAAATGATGATTTCCAAGCCTGGAAAAAGTAATGGTAATCATTAACTAAAGTCTATAGTCTAAAATATTTAATGGACTGAAAAATAGTTTTTTTTTGTCAGTGTAAACTTCGCTCAATTATAAAAAATGAATGGGAAAGTCATGGAAATTCATTAGCCAGAAGGTTTGGGAACCTTGATTTTCTTTTTGTTTGTATTTTATTTATAATAAGTTAGTTTTCTAAATACTAAGTTCACATAATTTATTTTTACTTTATATGTAAATAATTTAAAAATTAATTTTAATGTTTATTTTTTAATGATTGAATTTAGATTGTTTTTGTTTTATATAAATATTTAAAATATTTATTCATATAACCTTTATATTTAATAACATTTCATAAGTATTTTCATACTTAATTTTATTTAAATATTTACTGTTTAGTAAGGAAACGAATATGAATATTTATGTCATACACACCATTCAAGCACAGGAAATGAACAGAAATGTGTATTTCAGTCAGTAAAATAAAGAGTTGACTTAATTTCTTCGCTATCTGAAATACACATTTTCTGTGTGGTTTTGTTGCATTTTTTTAGTAAATTAGTATAATTAGAGTGTTTTCTAGGCTTGGAAAGGTTATGGACATTTTTATTATTATTATTATGCATTTATTTTAAAGCATCAAAATCAGAATCGAAGTGATTTATTAGTGAATCAGTTTTTTAAAAGATGTTTGCTAAATCATAAACATCTTAAAAAATGGAAATGTATTGGTTAAATGTGTGGGATTGCAGATTCTCTGTAAGAGACTGTGCCGTTTATCCCTATATTGCGTTTTGTTGCTTCACTTCGAGCCCGTCTGGTGTCCCGTCGCCAGCACATGGAGACGGAGAACAGGTTTAAACTGAAGCAACAGGATCCTCGCTGTCCTTTTGTCTGCTCGATAAACATGCTTATCAGCAGCCTGTGTGCAGAAATAAAGTCACCTGAGAATACACCTGAACTCCAGCTGAACTCGCTCTCCTTTCTGCTTTACTCCGATTCTCTCACTTCCATCAATTATTCTCCTTCCCAATCAGAACGGACACCGATACAAAATATCGCTCGCTGTCCCAGACACTGGGCCTGAGAAAAGCCAACCTGCGAGGCCAAGACTATTGTCCTACCGGGGCACAGATTCTGGAAGTGGATCAATGTCCTGTGGTGTCTCTGCATGTGTGTGGGAAATAGCTGTGTGTGTGTGTGTGTGTGTGTGTAAATTGATAGATGTTCTAATTTGTCTGTTGTGCTTCACCTGATGCTGACTGATACGGCTGGTCTTGAATCTCAAGCAGAAAGATCCAGTGCTGGACTCGGTTTCTGCAAAGGGGGGAAAAATGACTGTTGTAAATTTTCCCATTGGTTTAAATAGGATTGAGATAATAGGTGAGATTATTAGGCTGTTTTGGGTCATATTTTTGAGCATTTTTCTCAGCTAGCAATTATAAATGTGTTCTGTACTGAATATAAGCATGGCCATTTATCATTTATGTAAAACATAAGCTGGTCCTCGAAAGAAAGTAGTTCAAGAAGCATATTGATGTAATGCCTGATACTTTCTGGAACCACTTTTAAGGATTTTTTCGCTTGCTGACCAGCGTATAGTCAAGCTGGAAGAGCAGTTTCAACAAGCTGAGGCTAACAAACTAGGCTGATTTAATTTGACAAGATGTGTTTTACTACTGAGATAACTCTTCTTCTGAAAGGTACACGAATACACTTTTTTCGATTTAGTAAACGTTTCTTTGGAAACTTGTTTCTAAACAGGTGTACTTTCTGTCCGTTACAATCTAAATGGAATAGACCTTAATCAGGTTAGACACCATATTGAATTAAAAGTCGTTGAAAACAAGTCCGTTACTGATTTCAAATGACATGACAAAAATTGTAGTTAGTAACATAACCCATTATATTACATATTTTAAGTAATGTAATCAGATTACTTTTCGATTGCTTTTGATCTAACTTGTTTATCACATTGATTTAAATGGGATAATCTTGTACCCTATTGTTAAGAAATACAAAGAGAAAGACATTATGTCAGTTTGTGAAGAAACTGCAGGATTACTAATGAAAATCATAAAAATGTAAAATGAAAGAAATCATTTTAAAATAAAGTGAAATACCAAAAACGGGAAAAAAATTGGTTTCGCATGACCATTAACCGTATTCAACCAATAACGTGCATTTTCATGTGTTTGAAAGACAAAAGCCTTCCAAAGACATATTAATACATCAACCCACTGAGTGATAATTCAAATAAAAATGTGTTCATCAGTAATTGATGCAATTTTGAAATGTTGAGAAAACACTTCTTAAAATTGAAATGATTTTGGTAAATCCAGTGGTCAAATGCTGTGTGACCTCCAATTTTTCAGTGTAATTACTGCCACCTGACTGGAGACTGCGTGAATGTCCACAAAACTGGAAGACTTTCTGAATGTTTAGAAGTGCAGGCTATTTCAGAAAGGAATATTCAAAAGATGAAGTAGGGAGAATCTATAAATTATGAATAATTGTTATTCTGTGAATATGTAATCATGTAATCAAAAAAAGTAACTGTAGTTTGATTGAGTGTTTTAAAATGTAATATCTAATTTACAAGTAGTTACATAACTTTGGATTCTAATGAAGTAATTCAGATTAACATGTAATCAGTTAGTACCCAGGACTGGTAAACAACAGTACAATCCATTGAACGCACCTTTATCCCTCAAAGACTCATTTACATTCCTGTTGAATATTGGGCTGTATTACAATATGATGCTAGCCTAATTAGGTCCATTGTAGGTTCCTTTCTGTGACCAATATCTAAACTTCTCAGAACGTTGCAATACATTTTGTTTTCCCAACCTAATATATACAGAACGATTATTTAAGCTTTATTTTTTTAGAACCATAGACTAACCTTCCCACAACCACTGGGTTTCCCCCTTTGACTGAATAGTTCGTTCGTTCATTAGTTGTGTATTACTGACACCTAGTGGGAAACAGCTAATATTACAGCTTTATGTCTTTTAAATTCACCCCGGTAAGTGATCTAGTCCAGTGTTTCCCAACCTTTCTTTAGTCGCGGCACCCTTTGGAAATTTTAATTAAAGATAAATTGTCAAAATATTTGAATTTCTAACTTCAATATGATAATTTGAAAAGTATAGATATTCGGTACAGCAGGGAAGAACTGCAGAATATAATGTCATACAGATATTTTTAATATTATTTTAAAAAATTGTCCATCAATGGTGGCAATCAGTAGGCTAATTTCTAATGAAGAGACCAATTTATATGACAGATTTTAATGTAGGCTTTTATACATATGTAAACATTATTTAATTACCATTATAACTAGCTATCTCACAAATTTTTGCTCACTCAGTGTTTTTTTTATTTTACAGTGGGGTAATTTTGGTGCAGTAGCACGAGCTTGATTTCAAACTTTGAATTGAATAAAAAATGACAAGTAAGCAGTCAGTAATAAAATAAGAACAAATAAAGAAATTAATAATGATAGCACAAATAAAAAATAACGAAATAGCTTTTTAGTTTTTCAGGTAGGTCTAACGGTAGTTTTTATTTTTATTTTTATACCAATTATCCAAATAATGTTTAGTCCTAGAAAGCTATTATTATCAGAACACGCGAGCATAACATAGCGGTTAGCAGATCAATGAATGAGTTACCAGAGTTGCCCATATACCACACCATGTTACAACACAGTAGGCAGAAACATCGACAGACGGCACCCCGGTTGGGAAACACTGATCTAGTCTACGTCTACCGCGTGTATTTAAAGAACATAGAAAACGCTTAGAAATGAGCTCCGGTCAAGATCAGGCACTTAAAGGCAGAGTAAGCGATTTCTGGTAGCCAATGTTGACATATGAAATCACCAAAACAAACACGCCCCAACCCTAAAAGGGTCTTGCCCCTATTTTGATAGCTCCGCCCCACATATACGTACGCAACCCAGGCAACGATTAACATTAGTTCTGTGAAACAAAGCAAAACCAATATTACACCATGTCTACGGATGTGAGCGGCACGGTGCAACAAATCCCGACAGAAAACTGCTGCCTGGTTCTATTTATGATGTGCTGACACAAATTTCAAATGGTTTTCAACGGTCATTTGATCGCGTCCAGTGTAGGCAGACTTTAGCTGTTGTAGACACGGTGTTACTCACCTATTGAGAAGAAACAAAGCAACCTCGGCGTCCGATCGCAGGCCTCCGCTCCTTGAGTTCTCTCCAGCGCTGGAAAGCTGATCCGATATTTACACGGGTCCTACTTCTTGCCTTATCGTTCCGCAGACGTTTTCCTCTTTTGTTTTTTATCCGCCATCTCTATCCTTCTATCGCTCGGCTCGGCTAATGTCCGTCCCATGCACTGAAAGCTCTCCCCTCCACATCACGAGTAGACACGCCCCTTATTGCTGATTGGCTACAAGTTTGTTTGTTTTGCTATTGGGCCCGAATTCAGTTTTCTAAAGTGTTTTTGAAAAATCACATACCCTGCCTTTAATTTCACTATTAAATATAATACTTTATAGACACAAGGAAAAAATTAGATGGAATGACAGAATTCAAACAAAGTTAATGTTGATATTTATCTTTTTACAGCGAGACAAACTTTGAAAGACTTCACAAAACATCACTGAATTCATAAAATACATTTCTTATAAGAAACTGTTATTTATTTATTTAAACTACGAATTGATGGCAAATCAAATATGACCATTTAAAAGCTGCGAGTCTTATATCCGCTATATTGAGAAATAAATGGTGAAGACTGCTTTTCGAAATTGCGGTGCAATAGAAAGACACAGAAAACAGTTGTACAAGTCTCAAATATTTTATTTCTCATTTTCATGAATGACATTTCAATGGTTCCCGCAGCATGCAGAGAAATGAAGAAAGAAACAAAACGTTAAACCTAAAATCGAATTTTCATTCACTTGTATGTTTCCTTTGTCCAAAAACCCCACGGCTCTCCCATCGAAAGTTATACAGATGGCCGTCTGACCCCCAGCTAAAGAAATACAAAACAGAACCGAAAGCAAGGAGCATTAACAAACACACATTCTGTACAAAACAACTCAACCAAACCATGAACGGAAAAGGAGAAAAATAAAACATAACTCCCTTTTTTTTTTTTTAAAGAGAGGGGGAAAAATTCGCTGGGAGTGACGGACACCAATCCAGAATAACTCTCACATTTTAATTTTTTTATTTTCATAATAATAATAATATTTATGAATAAATGTAGTGAAGAAACTCGATTTAAAATCATTTCCATATTTAAACATTTACCAACAGTTTGGCAACGTCCATATATTTATATGTAACGGTCATTAAGATTATAATATCTCAATAGTACGATTCATATGTAAACAAGAGAACCGCCCCCAATCAGATCTACATGCACAACAGAAAGAAAAAACAGAGAGAGAAACCCTCCCGTATCATGCAAGCACATCTCAAGACCTCAACGGCCTTCGGAAAGGCATATTGAAGCGTTGTCACCGTGCAGCAGCTGGCGCGAAAAACGCCGGTTTGCGCGGGAGAATCACATTTAAAGCAAAATAGCGGAGTGGCCGAACGCTTCAGGTTTATTCATCCGCATTGAAAGCGTCTGGTTTGGTCTCCCTTTTTGAACACTCCAATCCCACGGATCTATCTTTGAAATGACGAAGGAAAAGAGAAACCGATCAGTCAGTCAGATCTGGTTTTGCCTACTTCGACAATGCCTCTCAGGTAAACATGCTGCAAACCAACTTGATTAAAGCTTAGAAAAAACCCGAACCCACAAAACACACAATCTGTCCTTCAGTCCCTAATATACATATATGAGCTACTAAGGTCTTTACAATGCTGCCTGCAGTCAAGTTGGAAAAAAATTAACCATGTATTTCCACAAACAAATATTCAAATCAGGTGTTATTGTGGATTCAGTTTGCCACAATATGCACTGTATCCTACAATGTCCAGAGGTAAATCAAAATTATTCGTTTGCTGTGGTAAAATGGTAATAAATCCAGAATACACACACAAAAAAAGTCCACAAATTTTACTGATGGCACTTCCATCCTACAGAAACATGTGGTGTGATCTGATCGTCCCTCCCCACCCGACCCCTGCGATAAAACACCGGTCTTAAAAGTAAACCATACTCTGTGCACAACTTCAAATATATTTGCATTTTATCCTAGTCTACTGTATATCTGAAAGCAAGACGGTAGATGAACTCCCTGACAATATTAACACAGCACACTTTACATACACGCACACATTCTCGGTAGAAAATTCGAATCGGATTTGCATTTTGCGTGAGATCTGAAGCAGATATTTGCTCGAAAGAGGTGGAAACAAAAAACAATAAGCTTGATGATAATAAACTTGATGACTTTTTTAATCTCCCCATGACATGAAGAACATCAGCTGGCGGTTTCAATATTCAGCTATTGTTAAATCCCATGTATGTTTCGATTGGCACTTCATACTTGAAGCGTGTTGCACTGAAATCAAGTGTCAAGTCATATATATCGCTCACATACACTTATTCCCTGTAGACCTAGATCATTTAAAAAAAAGACAGGACCAAAATAAATACAAAAAAATCCCCCCTTCAAAAAGAAAAATAAAGAACGTACACACATGCATACACACACGCGCGCACACACACACACACACACACTCCTCTCTTCCTTCTCCACCACACTGAGTTGCTCGGTAGTCGACAGAGAAGTCTTCTCTCTGACTGTCCTTAAATACCGAGAACGTGGACAGAAGAATCTCATGCTCTATAACACTTAGGATGGCAGGCGTCACAAGGCTCAGGGAGTAAAAAAGGGGAACAGAGGCATCATTCAGAGAAATACTTCCATTGAAAGAGAAAGAGAGCGACAGACAGAGAGAGAGAGAGAGAGAGAGAAAGAGAGAGCGTGTTAGCGGAACATCTGGAACTGATTCTCAGAAATGGAGAAGTGAAAAGAGGGTGTTCAGTGAAGAGCCTGTTCCGTCTCTTCACACATCCACCACCATCTTTTTGTGAATGTCTAAGCCACCAACCACCTGCGGAAGAGAAGGGAGAGGGTGACGGGAAATAATGTCAGTGCATTTCATAACCAGAGGAAAAAAAGTGTTATAACTCAATGACCCACAATTTTTTACTGTGCACTCTTATAGCACACTAATTAAAGCACCACTGCTAAAACATACCAAAAATCTCAATAACTAGTTAGCTGTTTGACAAGTAGTCTACCAACACACACTTTAGAGACAACATTCCTATAGTGGACAAACTGAGCCAAGAAATGAAACCCAAATTGACATGAAGATAAATACTGTTAATTATATTCATATTAAATGTTAATAATTATATTTAAGGTTCACTTCACTAATAAATCAATAAATTCAGTCATTCATGAGTACTGGACAATATTTTTTTTTGCAAAATAATTTAAGGATAGAAACTGCCAAGTTTTCCATAAATGCAGGAATTTATAAAAAAAACAAATATAAAATAATTTTGATGATAAACTTTTTGGGGAAAACACTCTGAAACCAGTAATAATGAATACTTGGGTTAAAATTTGTGATGCAGCAAAATACTGGCATCCAGAAATACTCATTCGTTCTAGTTTTGGCCAAAATCACTGACCAAAATGGTGATGTTTAATTCTCTGATGGCATGTTTTGACCATGTCTGCGTCTATTATGTGCACACAATGTATATAAACTACAACAGGTAAACTACGGAATGATGTCAAAACAGCTTCTAGAAAGCAGGATTATGCTAAATATGCACACTCTTTATACTTTTTCTTAGCCCGTTTTCTTCGTCATTTAACATGCGTATAATAAATCTCATGAAAACAAGTTTTTATTACAGCCACAGTTTAAATGTTTATATTTTAACAACATAATGGAGAAGAAACACAATTATATCATAAAAAGGTGATATTAACTTCAAATTGATTATTAAATAAACTTTCAGTAAAATCATTTTGGTGCATCACTAGTGAAAATGGTCCTCTAGGTTTATTTTCAGCCTATTTACTCTTATTATTTTCAGCAAAAGCTGAACATGGAAATTGCTGATGAAAGTGTTTGGAGTGTCAAATTTCACTGTATCTCAACAATAGGGCCTTTCGCACCGCGGGAACCTTTTCATAGTACCAGAACTAATTGTGGAACTACCCACTTTTTGGCGTTTTCGCACCGCCGGAACTGGGTGCGATTTTAGTACCGGACTGCCTTTTTCGAGAACCAAATTAGCTCCTACTCCGGAGCAGGGTCTAACCAGCACAACTGGTACTAATCGCGACGCAAGTAGACATTGATTGGCCAAACGCATATGAAAACCCTTGTCTGCGTTGATGATGGTTTTGTCGACGATCTGCTGCAGCTGGGTGTCCTTCAGGTTATTCCCTACCATCATCTTCAGCACCTGGAACAGCTCACCGTTGGATATGTAGCCATCCTTATCCATGTCATAAATCCTGAACGCAACTGCAGAAACAAACATGCCAGAAAAGGTGCTAGAATGCTTTGCTCCAGCGCACTACACTTATTTTGGTTTGGATCAACACTGGATGAACATAAGTGTACTAAACACTTAACCTTAACTAGAGGAAAGTGTTGGGGAAATTCAAGATGGAAAGAGACTCACAGCGGAGCTTCTGCTCCTTGTCACCCTTGACACTGAACTGAGAGACGCCTTCAATGAACTCTGCAAGAAAAAGGACAGAAAATGGGAGGGTGAGAAAATTGTCTACCCTCTTCACCTTTAACTGGACCAAGTTATGTTAATGCATCTGAACTCCTCAAGTACAGAGCGCCTCTGAAACCAGCAAGGAGCTCAGGTAAATCCTGCACTTTCACAAAAAAAAAGCACTGGACTGGACTGAAATGCAACAATTTCAACTGAGATCTGGGTCAGAAAATGCACACATAATATTACATGTCCTGAAGGAAATATTAGTTCTTCCAAAAGACGAGAAAGGAGCAGATTTTATGCCTTTGATTCGCATGAGGGCAGTTATGAATGCTTAAAAATATGCAAGGAACCCAAGACCAATCACAATTCAGAACAACTGGAATTCAGTACACTTTGCAATGAAATCAACATCGTGACGATTAGCATAAACCCATGAGCAACGCATACTACACATCAACTGGAAAAAGCAGAAATAAACCTTTAAAGTCCACTTCTCCATTTCCGTCTGTGTCGAATATATCAATAACTCGCTGCACCAGCGGATTCTGCTGCAACTCGGGTAGAGACATAAACTCCTCCACGCTGAGAGAACCCGAGTTATCCAGGTCGAGTTTCTTAAACCGCTTCCCTAGTCTTTTAATCTCATCAGCGTCAACTGAAATAGAGAGAAAGAGAGATGAAGAAAACAGTGAGAACAAGTCATTTCAACACAGAACACAAACTATGCATCCCATATTCTCTTAGATTTTCCTCAGCTACAACCTTACATCCATCTTCAAAACGTCAATCTAATATGCCTTCAGAGATTGCCCAAGTCTTAAATCACTCACATACACACAAGGAATGCAATATTCCACATCCAGGGCTCTCACACTCACTTTTATTCATCTTTGGCTGCCATCAGAAAGCCAGAACCCATCCCAGAATAGACCTTACCCAGTTTTCTCCTGCCTGGCAGTCATGCTCATCTCTCAGAGGACTGCCGTTCAACTACAGCTCGCTGTTGTGCTGTGTGGACTGCTAAATGGCCTAATCTCATTCACAGCCACGTGGTACACACCTCCAGTAATCAGCTGCCAGGCTGTTTGCTGTTAGCACTGTGCAGTTAATCTGATTAAAAATCCAAATCACAAATTCTCAACCTTTGTAACTCTTCAGTCCCTCGATGTCAGAGGTAGCAAAGAACTCACTCTGCTCAACTAACAAGAGACTTTTTAAAGGAAAAAACTATTAAAATGCTGATATGAATATTGAGGTCAAGTGTACCATTTAAAGGGTTAGTTCCCCCAAAAATGAAAATTCTGTCATTAATTACTCACCCTCATGTCGTTCCAAAGCCGTGAGAACTTCGTTCATCTTTGGAATGCAAATTAAGATATTTCTGATGAAATCCGAGAGCTTTCTGAACCTCCATAGACAGCAACACAACTGACACGTACAAGACCCAGAAACGTAGCAAGGACATCGTTAAAATAGTCCATGTGACATCAGTGATTCAACCTCAATTTTTTGAAGCTACGAGAATACTGTGCGCCAAGAAAGTGCACATGTGCCATGGTACTATCTTGAACGTGTGGCAGAGACTGACCTGAAAGAGAAGAATTGTTTACTAAAGTCGTTATTTTTGTTTTCTTTGCACACAAAGTATTCTTGTAGCTTTATAAAATTAGGGTTGAAGCACTGATGTCACATGGACAATTTTTACAATGTCCTTACTATGTTTCTGTGCCTTGATTGATCGTGTCAGTTACGTTGCTGTCTATGCAGAGTGACAGAATTGTAATTTTGTGGTGAACTAACCCATTAAGCCCACCAAAGTCTGTTTTCATACATTTTAATTTTAATTTATATAGTTTCATGGAAAAACTTGGATAAAATGAAAGAATAATTTGAATTTCTCACTAATTTAATTAATGACTAATTAAAGATTTCTAATTTGAATTTTATATGCTTTTCAAAAAAAAAAAAAAAGTAAACTTTTTTTAAAATATGTGAAACATCTGGCATGCTAGATTTTAAGTTAGTGCAACTGAGTAAAAGGCACAATATGTAAGATTTTTTAATTAAAATATCCAAAAACCTCTAGAACAGTGTTATATATTTTGCTGACTTGTGTACTTACATTATCCCAAATGTTTCGAAGAATGTTTAAATCCAGAGAAATAAGCAATTTTAACTAGTGACACGGACCGTGTCCATAGTGTCATTGTGTCGCCTGCCAATGACGTCATAACCCCTCGATTTCCGGTTTTGTCACGCTCGTTCATTATAACAGAACTTTCAAATGTATCTAGTATGTTAAAACAGCATACGCACGACCGGAAGGAGTGGAAGCGGTCGACTGAGGCATAATAAAAGCTCCACTGCTTTCGAGCCGTGTGTCACGCTCGTTCAGCGGCCTCGTTTCACTTCGACGGCTTTCAGCCTCGCCCTGCTTCATTCTACTACGTTAATAAATCTTTAATACATTAGCTCATCCATGAACATGATTTCTGCCCGAGTCCCGTCGGATTGCATCGGCTGTGGAGATGAAGACCACAACTCCCATGATTCCACACTCAGTCACGGCTTCATCTAACTACGCATTTGTCGATTTTGAATACATGCCCTCTAGCGCGAAAATTACATATTGTGCCTTTAATATGTTCAAATCACTAAATGGAAGTATACTACAGAATTAGTTTTCATTTCGTTTTAATTTATATTTCTTTACATGAACAAACAGATAAAATAAAACATTTGAAGTTTCAGCCATTTTAAAATAATAATAGTAACAATAAATTAATAATTAATATAATAGTAACAATTTAAAGTAAAATAATTTAAATAAATGTCCCGGATACAACAGATAAATGAGGTATTGCATCCTCAGAAATTCCTCTCCAAAAGAGGGTGAAAGTGAATATCTGGGTCCCCCGGGGTCGACAATTTAAGTTCTTTAAAATATTTAAGTACGATTTAAGTACAATAACATAATACTCAAGTTGACTTGGTTCCAAAAAAATAGTTGTTTGAATGAAAAGCAAGCAGATGGAAAATGAGCTCTGCCTTACTGCTGCTGTACATCCAATTATTCTCCGAGATAAAAGAGAGGTAAAGAGACATATGCTGATTTCCGCTGTGCTATTTTGAGTTCTTGGACACTTCCCAGATTACCCTAAAGCAGTAAATATTTATAGCAGTCAGGCTGATCCTTCGATGGTCTCTCACACTCACCGGCTGTAATGGCTGATAAGGGCCTCTCAGAAAAGCCCCCTAGCAACAAGGACGGCCGACTTAGCAGAGGAAGAGCAGCGGCGTACGTGCTCATTAGCGCATGATGGTTTAGAAAAATGTGTCAACTTCTGCAACATCATTTGTACCGCTGTTTTGTGGTAATAAGCGTTTCACTTTTAAAATGTGTCTAAGGACAGTTTATTCTGCTCTTTCTAGATGTTTTTAAACATAAGAGCATGTCTTATGTAAATGCCCTTCCCGAGTTAGAATCCCGGCTCAAGGACCTTTCCCGATTCCGCCCCCCTCTCTCTCCCACTTCGCTTCCTGGCTCCTCTACACTGGCCTGGATCATAAATAAGTATTTTTTTAAAAATTATACAGGACGACCTAAACCTGGTGGCCATCTTATCTCTTGCATTTCACATAAACAGTCTGTGTTTGCCTTTGCCAGATGCATTTCATCTACAAAAATGAATTGGGACGATGTCATAAGTGTCCTGTTACCACTGTCTAACTGGAGAGGCCTTATGATGTCCTTGTGGTTGCTAAGCACCCAACTGACCAACAGGTGGCTCAGTTTCACAGCAGCACACTTGTTATTGCCCTGTTACAGTCCTGCAAAATGAATTACTGTTGCCTCCTCGTTCTGCAGCAAAACCACTTGGGAATGATGCAATTAATCTTTCACCTTGACCTATAACCTCCCACTACTTTCATCTTTACTGGGTTGAATGAGGAAGAACCGATCACTGGATTTGTCAGGTTAGTGCAGGGGTGCCCAAACTCGGTCCTGGAGGGCCGGTGTCCTGCAGAGTTTAGCTCCAACTTGCCTCAACACACCTGCCGGGAAGTTTCTAGCATGCCTAGTAAGAGCTTGATTAGCTTGTTCAGGTGTGTCTAATTGGGGTTGGAGCTAAACTCTGCAGGACACCGGCCCTCCAGGACCGAGTTTGGGCACCCCTGGGTTAGTGGCAAGCTGGCGTCAGATCTTTAAAAGAGGTTTGTCCTCTTATTCGCAGAACAATACATGTAGCTTTTCCTTTGCTGTGCACTATGAGTAAGACTCGTCTTAATCCAGTGGTATTCCCACCACTGTGCCAGTGAAATTGCCATAGCAACATTAAAGGCACAATATGTACGATTTTTTTATTAAAATATCCAAAAACCACTAGAACAGTGTTACATATTTTGCTGACTTGTGTACTTACATTATCCCAAATGTTTCGAAGAATGTTTAAATCCAGAGAAATAAGCAATTTTAACTAGTGACACGGACCGTGTCCATAGTGTCATTGTGTCGCCTGCCAATGACGTCATAACCCCTCAATTTCCGGTTTTGTTTTGTAGAAAACATGGAAACACCAAAAACGCTTTAATCTCCCATGATTCCACACTCAGTCACAGCTATGCCTTTGTTTCTGTTTGTTTTGAATACGCGCCCTCTAGTGGCAAAAAATTACATTTTGCGCCTTTAAATGAACCCTGTGCTTATACCCAGAGAACTCTGGGTAATGTAGTTCTACACAGTTGATCTTATGTGGCTCAATATGAAAGATTATAACATTCACATATGCTAAATTTTTTTTACTCTGAATCAGATTTCACTCAAATTGCTAGTAAATCTTACGTTTAATTTAACAAGAAATTTTGAAGTAGAAAGACTAAAAAAAGTATTTTATTGTAAAACGTACTCTAACTTGTTTTATTTACAAATTCTTTTTACTATGTATTAGGTGCAAAAAGCTGAATAAATTAAGCATTAATTTGTATCAAATAACAGACATTTCTGCACATCAGAGCCTTTTATCCATTCAAAACGCAATGTCTATTTGTGGAAAGGATATGTAATAACAGTTACATCAGAACGCATTTCTTAAAGGGACGGTTCACACAACAACAACAACAACTCTGTTATCTTGTATTATCCCTCATGTCATTCCTAACCTTTCTTGACTTCACCATTTCTTGTCCATATGACTTTATCCTGTGGAATATAAAAAGATATTTTGGACCCCATTAACATTCATAGTTTCATTCATAGACAAAAAAATAAAAAATAGATATTTTTTTAGTTTGGAACAACATGATGTTGTGTAAATGATGGCAGAATATTCATTTATGTGTGAACTGTGCCTTTAAATAAATGGAAAGTGTTGGTTCTAGATTTTTCAGCCAAGCACAGGTCAGCACTATTATATTGAAAAAGGGGTGTCAAAGGTCCAAAAGTGCCTCTAATGTGTTTGTCAGTACTTACAATGTCTAAAGTAGAGCAGAAAAATACATAAAAAATGAAACCTATTAAAAACGGACCATCACCTCGTGTTCTTCTACTCACTCCCACCAACTCTAAAAATAAACCGGCTCTTCTTGCAGCCCCGAGACTAACCTTTACCAGCTGGAGGCATTTATAGCCCTCATTTCCACAGACTGCCACCCTGT